AAAATAAAAATAAGGATTTAGAAATTATATCATAATTCAATACACTGTATACACAATATGCTTAATTTATTAGGTTAACTTTATAATTAATTATAAAAGTAAATGCTTACATTTCCTCAGCATTCTACATATTTTGCGGTTATGGCCAACAAAATAATCTTAAAATTTCACAAGTTGTGGGGCCCTCCCTGGTGGCACAACGGGTTTAGAGCGCAGCACTGTGAGGCCGTCGCGGCCACTGAGCATCAGTTCTGTCCCCTGCCAGGGAGTGACCCACAGGGCGCGGCAGACCTCTCCTGACCCGCTGCTCCCCTCAGCAATGGATTTCAGCACATCTGCCTCTGCTGCTCCCCACTCTGTCTCCGGTGAATCCTCTCACCGCCCACGCCCCCCACATCTCTGGCCTGTACCCCAGTTCTGTATGCATAAATAAATCTTTAAAAAAAAATCACAAGTTGTGATGTGAAACTGTTGGGCTTCATTCATGTGCAACTCCACCAGCTGTGGTGCAGTTTGACAGTCTACCACCACCAATCTGGGCAAGGTTCTGTTAGAAAAGACAAGTTCATAACAATATGCCTGATACTGCAGGAATGTCAGGCTGCCATCAGTTCCCCATCAACTCTCCTTCTCTACACTGATCTTATTATGGTGTAAATGCTTTGCAAACTAGCACCAGTCTGAAGATCACACCTGGCCCAAATGATGTGTAGCCACTATACTTCAAAATTCTCACCCGAATAATATCTCCCGACTTTTATAAGTCCTACTGATTTACAGTTATCATCCCATCCCCTTTCTAAATATCCACTTGAAATGAAATGTTCTTTTTTAGCTTAACTCCCACCCACACTCACATACCATTAAAAGTAACATTAAATTCATCTGTTCCTACATTAATTTTTCTGTAAATAGTATATCATCATACACACCATTTATCCTCTGGATCCTGATTTCTCAGGAAATGCCAAGCAGCAAGATCACAAAGGAATGAAAAGATACTGGTCATCACCCCAGAACATAAATCAAGCAGCACCAACTAGAACAAAAGGAGGGCCTTTTGGGGGAAGGCCTTTCCTGAGAAAACATAATCAAGATGCCTGTGTGGTGCTTCGCATACCACGTCAAGATGTTCCCCCTCATCGGATCACACTCAAGTGTAGCGAGGCTGTCCCCTGGCTTTGGTCTATTGCGGACAAACTCTTACCCAGTCTCCTGCTTTGTTGGATGATAAAGGCGTCTCTGATGACTTCAGCAGTTTTGAAGGTTGAGCATTCAAGCTCTGACTCTCACTTTGCTTCCTCTTAACAGCAGTGGTCTCACAGCAGAGACTGCAAGTTATGCTGCGGCTATAGCCCTCACCCTCGTGTGGAGAGGACACACCACACACAGGGTGGACATTCCAATCACCGGACATGCAACTGTTAGCACCTGTGCACTCTTTTTGACAGACTACACAAGATAAACATTTTAGTCTGCTTTCAGGGTGGTTTCTGTTGGCCACCAGAGAAGGAAGAGAAAGATTCTCTTCAATGTCACTACTCTCTGTACCGGTCTCCATATTGTCTTCATACTGGGCTCTTAGAGTATTTTCCAACTCTTGGTCGACCTGTTCTAAGTCATCTTCTGTGTTCGGACTAGCAACAAGTTCTTCAGTCAACCGAGAATGAGACAGGCTCAATTTAGCTTCAGAGCTAAAGGGACCTTCACCTGGTGCCTGCTGCATGCCTCTGTGGTTTTGGGTCATCTGAAGGAACCATAAAAGTTCGGCCCAGTGTGATGAATTGTTAGTTTGCATCCAGGAGAGAATCCTATTTTGGATATTCTCATTAGTCTGATTGGGAGAACGCTGGCTTTGGCAGGGTGAAGACTTTCCATGGACAATTTTCAATTCTGGCCAAATATCACTGAGTTCACTAACAATCTGGCTTGAAAACTCCCTCCCACTGTCAGACTGTAGGACACTGGGCACACCAGTGATTGTAAAAATATCTAACAGAGCATGTGCAACTTCTTTAGGCCTTTTAGATTTTAATGACCGCAGGAAACTCAGCTTTGTACGAAGGTCTTGATAATGCATAATAAATTTATACTCGCCGTCAGGATTCAATTGCATGTCTATAAAATCCACTTGACATCTTGAGTTAACTTCCTTAAGTGGCTTGGAAGTAAGAACTTTCTTGAGTTTTGAATTTTTCTGCTGGCAAGGTTTGCAGAGTGTCAAGTACAGCATAATGACTTCTTTTGTGATGTTCTTGTATTTTGCTTGTAACTCTTTTTCCATGCGGGTACGGCCACCGTGTCCAATACGGAGGTGTGTCTCGTGCAGAATGTCAAATAAGTCCTCGCTGTGTAAATAATACCGTGTTTGGTCTGTTTCCCCACTTATAGCTTCAATCAGCTTCTCATTTCCTTGTACCAGAATCACATCAAATCGAGCCAAGCGGCGGTAGTCAACTGATTCCTTTTTTGCCTTAGCTTTAGCCTCTTTTACCTCTTTTATTAACTGACGGTACTTGGCTTTAGAAAATATCTTGGTATTATTACTTTTGCTTTCTAGTAGCACTGCTAAGCTTGTGAAGAACTTTTCTCTCATGTTTTCTGGTTCAATTTCTGCTTCACTAGGCTCCAAGCTATTGAGGTTATCGTCACCCATGCTTTGAGACATCATGGAAAGCCACAAAAATGACCCTAACGTATAAAGAAAAAAAAACGATTAGAATGTTCGGGAATGTAATTTAAAGTACATACAGTATCGAAATAACTACTACCGCCTGGGGCAGGAAGTAGAGGCTCTGGAGACATGTAAGGGGAATACAGCTGTGTTGAGGGAGTCCAACCTTGGAGGAAGGGAGAGGGCGAAGGAGGCACAGTAAAGAGTGGAAAGCCAGGATGTGACTTCCCACAGCAGTGTCCAGACTTGTCCTTAAATTACTATTTCATGTGAAACAGGAAGCCCTTTGTATTATTAATTGATCGACTACACAAGAAAATGGTTTCAGCTAGGATGACTCAGTATTACAGTATTATCTTTATAAAAATATTCAGAAACTCCACCACATTTTGCTTGATTCCATTAGGTTAGTTGTACTAGCATTATTTGTGTCTTAAGTTTCAGTGTAATAATATATTAATGGCAGCTTCTTTGGGGGGCTTGCGAAACTAAAAACCCAACACAAATATACTCATTAGTAACTTTAATAAAGAAAGAGTGCAAGCAGGAAAATGGGAAAGAAAAAAGATGAGCCTGAAGTCATGAGAAATCTGACTTAATCATATTAGAAAGCACTGTTTAGGAGAGGTCTGCCATGCCTAAACCCTCTGCCCCTGCACCTCTGGCTTGCACCCCAGTTCTTGTATGCATAAATAAACAAGTAAATCTTAAAAAAAAAACAAAACAACTATGATGCTTTAAAAAAATGCAATGTTTAGAACATTCATCGTAATGAACATTTAGAATAATTCCAACTTGCTGGCCTTAAGAAAACTATTTTGAAAAAAATAAGGAATTACTTGGAATTAGTGTGTCAACTGTAAACAGTCTTATGACAGCTTGGAAAAAAATACTTTCTCTGAAGTCAACCCTGTTTAAATTACCTATTCATATATTAAATATTAACTACGTTTTTCTCAAATATTTTTAATTTCAAAAAAAGGCATATTAGCGATATGATACTGTGTGTTGTGGTTCCACTTAATTCTCCATTGTTCTAGTAATAATTCCTTGATCATTTACTTTAAATTTACATTGAGTTCTCCTTTCTTGAAAAGCATAGTTTACTCATAACACAAACTAATGTCGTGCTTTTTTCTTTGATAACTTCACATGTTGAGCAAGAGTTAAGTTTACAAAGATGTAGGGATTCCTTATTTCTCTAGGATCTTTTGTGTTATCTAACATATTACTACAGGGCAAAAAGGGTTGCAGGGTCTCCCTGGTGACACAGGGGTCAGGTCTCAGCGCTATGAAGCTATTGGCACTGTGGCCTGAGTTTGATCCCCAGCCAGGGAGCTGACCCACAGGGTGTAGCAGACCTCTCCTGTCACGCCCCTGGCTTCCCCCAGTAGTGTATTTCAGTAGATCCGCCAGTTCTGCTCCCCACTCTGTCCCTTGTGAATCCTCTCACCACCACACCTGTGCACCTCTGGCCTGCACCCCAGTTCTTGCATGCATAAATAAATCTTAACAAAAGAAAAGAAAAGGGGGCCCCATCAAAGCTGAAGACGACAGCACTGGTAGTGTTATCTCAAAATGTGACTGAAGCCATCACATGGCTAGTGTCTCTTCCCACACGATAAGTGTATCCTGGTGTGTGCTCTTCTGGGAAGCCATGAACAACAGAGAAGGCAAGATACAGCAATGTAAATAAGAACCAGGAAGATCTGTGCTCCAGAAGTTACTAAAATCAGTATGAGTAGGGCTAAGATAAGCAGGGGATAAGGAGTTGGTAGAGCTGTAAGGGAAGAAAACAATGGATGTTGATCATACTTAAGCTTCCGGAAAAGCAGCTGCTCCGGAGCCAGGCTAGCCGCCGGCTGCCCTCACCACACGCTGCGCTGCTGCGGCGCTAGTGGGCTTACCCTCAGAAAGGCCGTGTCCTCAGCAGGGCTTCCGGGTAGGATTTCCAAGTCTTCAGTGACAAAAATTGGGGACAGAAGTTTTATGGAAATGGGACCTATTAAATGCTCCTGACATCTACATAGAGAGTCAGCTCTGATTTATCCACAGGTACTTAAACTCCATCGGGAAGATTCCATGGAAAACCTTACACTTAACTAATTTTTACACAATTGCCCTGATTGCTTAGCTCAGTTCCTTTATTCATATCATACTACATTGGCTGATTTTTTTTCTTTAGCCATATTCAACAGAAGTATAAATGGACTGATGTTTGGTAAATTTTCAATGGCTAGAACCTTCCCTAGCCCAAATCCCATCTTCTCTCCAGACACGGAATTATCCTCACCATTATCCTGAAGCGGGTGTGGCTCTGGAGACTGACAGTCCGCCCTGTCTTCCAAAGACTGCGGCTGGGCACCTAAGGGCTCCTTTGTGTCATCCAGAGGGGCCATTTCTTCCATAGGAACTTCCTGCCCAAATGGGCCCTGTGGGACCTGGGGGCAAGCAGTTTAACAGAAGTAATCACGATACAAACCATCGCTAAACCTAAAAACATCCTTCTTCTGAAATAGCATATAGAGAGAAAAAGTTTTCATTGAATTCTTAGGAAGAGTGCAAGATCGAGTGAGAAATAAAATACACTGGCCCAGTAAAGAGTAAAGGGAACTGGGGGGGTGTCCCTGTGGTTCCTGAAACAACATCAGAAGCACAATACAGGCATCTGGCCGAAAGTTTGATAACTGAAAGAAAAGCATAAGGAGTTTCAGTGTGAACAATTAAAAGTAAATACTCAGGGTGGTAATATGCAAATTACCTAATCAAGACTAATTTGGTTTTGATCCAAGAAGGAATCTGACAGTTGTTTCAGACCAAATGTGGAAAACTTTAGGCCAATGTGTTGTGGGGAAAAAGTGTGTCACTGAAAAAAGAGTCAGTCTATAAGACAACTGTTTTGGGTGAAGAAAAAAAACATTACACTCTCCTTTCACTAGTATATGGTGTTTATTAAATTTCCTCCATTGTCCCCCAAAACAATATATTTTTAAGCCCACAGCTAATCATTGTTTAAACATTGTTATTTGCTTTAAAAACAAAAACTGACATTAAATTTGAAGTCAGAGCCAACTCCTTTACAGAATATCCCACATAAGCCCACAGCTAATCATTGTTTAAACATTGTTATTTACTTTTTAAAAAAAAAAAACTGACATTAAATTTGAAGTCAGAGCCAACTCTCTTATAGAATATCCCACATTTGGGGGGGTTATCTCTGTATTCCTTAAATACAAATTCTGGTATGTATTTCCTGTGTCACATCACAGGATACATGTTATCAAGCCATTTCATTATTGACAATGCTAAATTTGATCGCTTAGTAAAGGTAGTGACTACCAGATGCATTGGGAAAATAAGCTTTCCCTCCTTCCCACTGTATTATCACCAGCTTGCAAAACTCCGTTGCTAGCTCATTTTCTGGAATACAAAAAAGTTAGTAAAAGAGATGTAAATATGGGAGGGAACCATGCAAATAATCACTTCCAAAACAGACTAAAACAGAAGAAAGCCAAGGGGGATGTTGATGTGAATGGGCGTTTTGTCCAGTAACTATCTGTCTTCACTGCTCCCTGCATTTGGCTACAATCGGATAGCCTGTATTTTGCAGTTCTTGCAACGTGCTGGAAAAACTCAACCAAAAGCAGCACAATCTCAGCACTTGCCTGTGTACCGATCTCAAATGAAAGACGTGGCACTCCAGAAAAAAATGTTTTAGCTGAAAATACCTCTACTGTAATGGTAAAAAGCAGAATACACCTCACATACCAGTAACTACTGAGACTGAAAAGTATCTAGAAAATGATTCAATTAATCTCTTCCTTGCAAAGAAGACACTGAAGCCCAGAGCAAGTGTCATATGGCCAAGGTTATACAGCTTGTGACAATCTATTACAAAAGCCACATCTTATAATCCATCATTCCCCAATATTTCCATTATATTGGCCCGCTTCTTCATCTGTCTCTCCTAGAAGTTATTCTTTATATTTTTACATTGGCTTCTTTTCATCTATGGCAAAAGCACTGGGCATTATAAGAAGAGTGAGCTACTCTAATCTCAGTGGTTAGATAACACAGTTTCTTACTGGTAATGGATCAAGATTTCCCAATGCAGTTAAATCACCTACTTATCTGCGTTCGCTATCACACAAAAACTGCATTTATCTGTTCATCTACCCCAGTGATCAAATAATAAAGCCCCAGACTGGAATTTGCTGCCACCAGTGCATAGTTAAATCCCATTTACTCCACCTTGGATCCATGCACTCCATCCTCCACAGAAGCTGGCACCTGCACGGTCTCACCTGTTGTCTAGGTTCATCCAGTTCCCGCTCCAAATCCTCCAGCAGCAGCACCGCCTCCTCCCCGCTCTCGGGACGCTGCCCCCGCACCCAGGCCTGCAGCTCCCCGGGCAGGATGGTCAGGAACTGCTCCAGCACCAGCAGCTCCAGGATCTGCTCCTTGCTGCGCGTCTCGGGCCGCAGCCACAGGCGACACAGCTCCCGGAGCCGGCCCAGCGCCTCCCTGGGCCCAGGTGTCTCCTGGTAGCAGAACTGCCTGAAGCGCTGACGGGCGAGTTCCCTGCTATGAGACAGTGTACCCTGTGGGCAGGACTCCTGCTCCCAGCTATGGTCTTCTTCCTTAACCTTTACTTTGATAATCTCCCCTTGACCCTCGGAAGCCTGGCCAGCCAAGACGTCCAGCGCCCTGGCGCCTGCTGCCATCCTGAGCTCGGACAGCTCGGAGGAAGGCCCTCTGCAGTTGGGGGCAGGGAGCCGATGACTCTCCTGGAAGTCCCCACCCAATCCTTGGTCGGGAAAGTTCGATGAGAGGAAACACGGTTCGCCCGGAAGCAATGACAGTCGCAGGCAAAAAGGACTTGACCGCGTGACCAGTTACAGGTGCGATGGCGCTGACAGGGCGTGAGCAGAGAGCTGCACTACCGCTGCCAGGTCATCAGCCGAGTGGGGGCGGGAGACTGAGGCAATCCAGGGCACCCCGGCCCTCGTCCGCGGGGGGCACGCGAGCGAGGGGATCGC